CCCCCTCCCACGGGGGTCTCCTCTTCCTCCTTGTCCACAGTGCCCCCCCCAGCCTGAAACCCAGCACCCAGGGGCAGGGGAACCCGGGGAAAGAGACAATCCACACGTATGCAACGGCACCCCTCCAGGCCGGATCCGGCTGCATGCCCACTGCTACTGCCCCTTGGGGATGAAGGGCTCCCCCTCCTCCGGCTCCGGCCGAGGCCCGGGGTCGCTCAGGCACCGCAGCATCCGCTGGTTGCTGGGGCTGTCACTGGTCCCCGGGGTGAAGACGTCGTCCGTGCCCGGGGAGGACGGCTCCTTGACCCGCATCACAAGGCCCTCCTCATCCTCCTCGGGTGATGGCGGCAGGCGGCTCATGCCCTTCATCTCCTCGTTCACCAGGTCGACTGACTCCGGGGACTGGGGCGATGCAGGGTCAATGGTGATGATGGGGAGGTTCTCCGAGTCCGGCTTGGGCTCGTAGGCCATTGGGTCTGCAGGGACAGGCACAGACAGCTGCCTCAGCACAGCATGGAGCTGCGCCCAGGGCCTCTGCTCACACAGTGCCCTGGGGAGCTGGGGGGGTTACCACCCACAGATGGACGGGGAAGTGACCTGAAGGGTCTAGTGGCTACAGAGGGAAATTATGGAAGAGGGCAGTCAGGAGTCTTGGGTTCTCCTCCCAGCTCTAGGAGACAATACACCCCGACCAGTGCTTCTCTACCCTTTATAGGCTCAAAGCTCCCCTTGTCAGACTCCAGGCCCCCCTTAGAAAATGCCAGCTCTCTACCGGCACTCATTGTTTGACTATGGAAAAGAGAGCGGAGCAGTTCTTCTGTTGCAAAGAGCACAGCGAGCCCACGACAGGGCAACATGTCGGTGACCCTCTGGATTCCTACTTGAAATGACTGGGCTGATCTTATGAATCACGTGTTGGTGTCTGCACACCTGACATCGCCCTGCGGCACCCTTGAAAGGATCCTGTGGCAGGGTTGTCCAGCGCTCTTTCCTGCCCAGGCAGGGGGTGGGACTCGATGATCTGTTGAGGTCCCTTCTGACCCTAGCATCTATGAATCCAACGAATGGATCCTTAAGGCTTAGAAAAAGAAGACCAACCCCTTTGCAGATGACCCCACAGGCCCAGCTGCACTTGCCCTGCTGGCTCGGGAGCCCTGGAGAGAAGTGGACGTTGCCGGCGCACTGTGAACACCGGCAAGGTAAGAAGCAGGGCTTGAGGGCCCTCGGAGGCGTAGGCCGCTCACAGGGAACATGTCTGCCCATAGGCACAACTGATCTGGCATCGTCCCTGTCCCTAGGGACCAAAGTCCCCTTGGGGGCAACCTGAGCTGCAGCAGCAGGCTCCGCTACAGCCTGGGGGGGTGGATTTCTGAGGAGCTGGACAAGAGAAATCAGCAAGAGCTTGAGCCAAGGTTGCAGGTTCAATCCCCAGCTGGATTAGATGAGCTCGAGGCCCCTTCCAGCCTTTCCTTCTCCTCTGTGAACTGGCCCTACGCATCTGTGGGTGGGGGTGAGGAGACAACCCCCTCCCAGCCAGGCCCAGCTCAGCCTAGGCGGCTGGTGCATGCAGGCAGCAGCACCTGGCTGTGTCGTGTGGAAGTGCTGCCCCCTGGTGGCCACACGTGGGACCCCACGGCTCCCAGCAGCGCCTCGGTAGGCCACCACCGAGGGGTGAGGATACCCCAAAAGATGCCCGTTTCCCGCGCCACCTGGCCCGTACGTACCTGAGCCAATGCGAGCCCTGGACATAGTGGGCGAGTCGACCTTGTGAGCCGGGACCGTCAGGTAATTGTTCATCTGGAAGAAGAAAAGAGGCAGTGCTGGGGCGTGAGCTCCAGTGTGCTGAGGCCAGGGGGATGGGGCAATGTCCCACAGGCGACTGGAAGGGGTCAGGGGAATCAAGGATACTCCTCAGAGAGGCTTCTGTGGGTGGCAGCTTGCTGAGGGCTTCCCTGGGGAGTGGCAGGCAGCCATCCCAAACCTACCCGTCCTCTGAAAAGAGAGCCTGCCTCCCTTGTCATGCAGCACCAGAACACCCAGAGCATCAGGACCCACTGCTGCTGGCTCCAGCTTGTCCAATCCCCTTCAGCGGGCATGAGTCTCAGCACAAAACGTGCCCTGCTGCCCCCACCAGCCCCTGTTCCAGCTGCCAGTGCCTGTCCATGTCTCCCCGTCCCCACGCACCTTCTTCTCCAGCTGCCGGACTTTCTGCCTCCGCAGCAACATCTGGTTCCAGGCTTCCTCGTAGGGGTCGGCCACCAGTGTGTGCCGGTTGTAGGATCGCAGCTGTGAAGAGCCCAGGACAGCAGACAGGGTAAGAAGGTGAAGCAGAGCCACAACCTGTCAGGTCCCGCAGACAGAGCTCCAGGGAAGGGGGTGAGGGTGAAGGGTGCTGTCCTGCAGGGCAGACGGGCCCAAGCAGGGACAGTGCCAGCTGCTGGGACGCAGCTGCATGATCAGGGGACAGCCAGGAGGGGCCTTCAGGAGTTTGTGGCTGAGCTCAGAGAACAAGCCCCAAGTGTCATCAGGTGCATGCCTGGCTCCCTTAGGGTTTCCTGGCAGCCCACCTTTGTATCTGGCTTGTATAGCAAAGCCCCTCTCAGCAGCCCCCCGAGGGAACAAACTGAGGCCATCCTCCTCAGCAGGGGGACGACTGCTCCCAGAGGCCTCCACACAGACCAGGTCTACGCTGTCCTATGCAGCCCCTGCCCCCCAGAGCTTACAGTGCAGCAAAGGAAGGCTGTTCCCCTCATGGTGCAGACATGGGAGACCTGGAGAGACCGAGAGACTAGCCCAAAGAGACAGAGGGAGCCCACAGCGCAGCTGGGAACAGACTCCGAGCCTCACTCCAGCCGTGGCACAGTCCAGCTCTCGTCTCTGTGCCAGTGCGGCCATTAGCCCAGCTGCCAGCCCACTGGGCTGCTTCGAACTGGCTGGGGCAGGCTGAAGAGCAGAGCTGGGAATAATGGAGGCAGGAGGCACTGGGAACATGGAAGGGGGCAGGGAGCGAACCATGTCCCAGGCTTCCTCCTGAGCCATGAGCAGGGGCTGGGGGAGGCCAGAGTCCTCACCCTCTGCCTGGTTTTCTGCAGGTTGTTACGCAGGATCTTCCTGATCTCCTCCTCCTTGTCCTTGGACAGGGCCGGGAGGATACGCTCCACAGGCAAGGTCTTGGGATGGATGTTTCTGCAAGAGGAAGAGGCAGCAAGTCTGAGCACCAGGCACCACGGTAGTGAGGGGAGAGGCTTCGGCCGTGGTGCCAGGAGTCACCTCTGTAAGATCCCTGCCTGCAGGCCGTGCTGGGCAGGGCAGTACTCACTGCATGGAGACTGTAGAGACTGCTGAGGGGATCTTGCCTATGCCCCCGCTCTCCACCAGCTCGATGGCCTGCTTCATCTCCATCTTATGGTAAAAGGCGATGAGCTGGGGCTCCTTGGAGCGCTCGCCCGCGATCAGGCACTTCTTCACGTACTTCTTGTTGAAGCGATTCAGCCTTCCCAGGGGGTCAGAGGAGCAAGGGACACATCAGGTGGGGGCCGCACAGCCCCTGTTCCACAGGAGGAGCGCACCACCCATGAGCTCCCTCGGCTTCCCCTACAGCCAAGGGCCCAGCAGATGGATCTCTTGGCACCTCCGAGTGTCAAGGACCCCAGGCCCCGACCCCCAGATCCTCAATGCAGCACTCGCAGGCACAAAGGACAGCTGCAAGGAGCCAACTAATGGCTCCATTCTCCTGTGGGTCCTTCCGGGCCTGAACACGGGGCAGAGGGGAGAGAATCCTGGCTCAGCTCGGGGACAGATAATACCCTGATCTCATTCAGCCCAGCTCCCAGGGCTCGACCAACCCTTCCTCACATGCTTGGGGAGCCTGGTGATTCTCCAGCACAGAGCAAGAAGCCAGAAGCTGGAGCCAGAGCGGGGTAAGGATAGGGGAAGGCATTTGGCTGGTGGAGAGGGAAACGCCCTCACACATCTGGAGCAGCAGAGTCCCCTACAGCTGTGTAATGCTCCTTTGCCCCTGACACCGGGGCTCTGTAGGTACTTACTGATGAATGGGGCAGGGGGAGCTGTGAGGTGTTGTATGTGCACATGGGACGTGGCATTTAAAATCCCTCCCTTCTCCCTTAGATTTGCCATCAGAGAACAGTGGAGACTCTGCCGGCATGAACAATGAATGGTACTCACTTGTCTTTCCAGTGGTGATGGCCGTAGTGACCACAGATATCCTCAATCCCAGTCAGGAGGTGGTCCAGAAACTGGAAAGAAGGCAAAGCATGTGACTGCCTCTTTAGCTTGACACTAGCAGGCCTTGGCCACACGCTTCCCCTCTCCCCACCAAACTACTCCCAACGTGGAACTCGCATGGGGCTGCACGGCCCGGATGACAGTGTGCTGACACTGGGCGCAGCTCTGGGCGGGGCCTCTGGGTGGCAGCACAGACCTGTGCCAGGTGGAGAACAGACAGAGGAGCCAGGCTGGGGCAGTGCTTCACCCGCAGCCCTTACCTTGGAGACCAACCCACAGGCGTTCCCGTCCTGGGACCCTGCCTGGTTGCAGCGCGAGGTGAAGCAGACAGAGGTCTGAGGTGGGGCGACTTGAGGGAGAGGTGCCGTGTGTGGGGAGCAGTTACCTGGGTGTGGATCTCCTCGTTGATGGAGCGTTTTGTCTCCTGCTTCTTCTTCACGGCCAGCAGGTCCACCAGCGGGCGGATGGTCATGCCCTGCAAAAGAGGGCCGGGTCACACCTCGGTCAGAGGCTTTGCTCACCTCTGAGAGGCCAGGAGAGGAGAGCAGAGCCGGCATCCCCTGGGGCTGGCCTCATCTCGAGGCTGGAGCAAACCTTGCCCTCCTGGAGTCAGCCAGCCTGGTCCACGTTCCCATACAGGACAACAGGTGCCTCAGGGATGTCATGAAGAGTCCCTAGTTTTCCTGCCACACCTATGGCCTAGGAGAGTCCAGTTGGGTCCCAGCACTGTGCAAAGCCCATTGCCCCCTCTGCTACAAAAGTCCAAGGGCTGTCCCCTCATCCTATCTGGGGACCTTTCCTTTCCAGACACATTAAAGCAATGCCAGCTGGTAGCTGGAGCTGCTGTGGACCTCCCCTGATCAGAGCCAGCAGAGCTTCAGAGCTCTTTGTCACTAGCGACCCCAGAGAGGTGTCACTCTCCCCCTTGCAAGGGCAGGCCAGCTGGGACAGGGTCCTCCGACTGCCACACCAGTGTACTCCCCGTGGGACCAGCCTTGCAAACACCCCGTGTGCTCTCCCACCCCCCAAACGAGCTTGTTAACAACGGCCATGCCCCTACCCAACTCTCGCTCAGTTGGCTGCAGTCAGGAGCTGCAGGAAGCAGACCCACATCCCTCACCTTGACACCCGGGCACCTGGCGACAGGCCCAGGGGGAACGGTGGAGTGCTGCCTACCTGCACGAAGACAGTGAAGAAGATGACGGTGATGATGGCCGTGAGGAACATGTCCCTCATGTTGAAGTGCGAGTAATCCAGGAGGTAGCAGAGCGAGAAGGCGATGGCCCCTCTCAGGCCCCCGTAGGCGATGATGAACTGGTCCTTGGGGGTCAGCTTCACAATGCGGAACTTGTTAATGAACCAGGTGAGGCCCAAGACACCTGCAGAGAGGTTGGGGGGACAGGGCAGGGCGGCTCCAGGTTACACAGGCCTGGCCTTGGTGAGACGCACCCTGAGGCCCCAGGGATGAGGGCAGCTCCTTCTAGACACCCAGCCACGCTCCTCCATCAGCCCCAGCAGCACTGGCTCTTTCCACAGGGACTGCCCCCATGGAGGAGTAGAATGAAGAGACTTCCAGGGGCAAAGCAGATGGTTAACGCTGGGCGCCGTGGGCTCCTCTATCTCCTGCCCACCACTGAATTCTGCCTCCCCATACAACTTACAGCCCCCTCTCACCTCCACGACCCCAGCCCCAGGCCTCTGACACAACACAGAGGACCGATCACAGAGCAGAGCCTACAGGGAAACTTCTTGTTGGTCTAGCACTGGACGCTGTCCCTAACAGAGGCTCCACGCAGGCTCCTGAGAAGCCAGCCAGGGGGGTCCCAAGAATACAGGCCCCAAAAGCATGGGTCAGTTCTCCCTAGCCTGTCGAGGAGACACTGGCCGCACACTCTCAAGCTGAGCTGTTTCTCCCAGCCAGGCCCCAGATCCAAGGGAGCTGCAAAAAGTCTCTGTGTTCTGGGGCTGGACTGGAGAGACCTGTCCCCTGCCCCATGCTGTCTGTAAAACCAGCACTGCACTCAGAGCTCCCAAACCCACTCAGGTCCATGACCCCAGGCAGGCTGGACCCAGGCCTTCTGGGTGTGAATGCATCTCAGACCATCCAGAAGCCCAGACCAGGGCTGCTCCCAGCCCCTTGTTCAACCAAGGCCCCAGCCCCTCACCTAACACCCTGGCAATGAGGCAGAAGAGCAGGGTGCTGATGACAAAGGTCCAGTTCCAGTAGTGCTTGCCCGCCACAGTGGAAACGCCGAGGAAGATGAAGATAAGCGTCTCGCTGACGCTGCTCCACATCTTCAGGAAGTACTTGATGGTGGTATGGGACTTGTGGGAGATATTGGCCTCCACATACGGGCGCATGACCACGCCGGCAGCGATGAGCCTGCAGGGGAAGGCAAGGAACAGCTCTCGGGGGCAGCCAGGGAAACTGGCACCTGGCAGGACTGGAAAACACTAGCCCCCTGTCCTGGAGCTTCCCCAGCTCCAGCTGTACCTCAGAGCTTTATCACAGCTCCCTGCATTAAACCTGGTAAAGAAGAGGCAAGGCACCAGGGAGTGGAAATCCTGCAGCAAGATTCAGGGAGGGAGAACCATTTTAACTTGGCCACCAGCTCCAGGGCCCCCGTCTAGCTGTCATGGGCAGGAGGCAACGTGTTCTCTGGAGCACCAGGTCGGGGAATCCCTCGGTACCACACGCGGATTCTGTCTGAGGTGCGAAGCTCTGTGTAGCTCCAACTGCAGCCTCTGTTTTTATTGCCTGGAGTTTGCTGTCCCCCTCGCTCTTCCTCTCCACGACGACCACAATTCCCCAGGGAGGCTAGTACACAGCCCCGGCTGTGGACTTTAGCATATGCCTGCATCAGCAATGTGCCACGAGATCGCTTAGAGCGCATGCGCCTCTGCAGTCAGTGCCAAGATGTGCATGCTTCTCCTGCAGCACCTGTGGGGTTCTCACCCTATACTCAAAGGGATGCACTCCCTCATGCTCCCTACAGGATAAGAGCAGACACACGGGAGCTACTGCAAGGAATGATGGGGGCTGCATCCTCCCATGCCTGGGGGCACTGACACAGACAGCAGCTCTGAGCATGCCTTGGGCGTGGTGCCTCCACTAGCGGACTGGCATGGGAGTCCCCTAAGAGAGGAGCAGAGCTGAGCACGGAGTTTGCTCTCAGCCATCTTCAGTCCCTGCAGCAGGGAAAATCCCATCAGGGCTCCAGAGAGCAGGGTGGGCTAGCAGGGCAGTGCTTCTAGGTAGACCACCTCTTGTGCACCTAGAAACTCCAGGCCAAACCCCTCGTGCCCACCTGTTTATTTGCTTACAGCTGTCAGGCACCTCCTGAAGGGTTACACTTTGTACCAGGAGGCTCCAGCCTCTGGCCAGGTTCTAGGAAAGGGCATGTCTAAGCTCAAAGAGTCAGGACAGGATGCTGGGGACAGACAGGTAGCTGGAGGGGTCCAGCTCCCAGGTTGAGGAACCAGGCAGGTGGGCTACAACCTGGGTATGTGCCGAGAGACCCCTGGCCTGGGCCTGGGACAGTGCTTAGATTCTGGCTTAGACTCCAGATGCTTAAAAACAGCGCAAGGGATTCAGCAGCAAGGCTCCCTGACAGCAATCACGTGAGTGGCCAGCAGGGGACGTGCCAGCAGGCACCACTGTGGCCGACAGCAAGGTTTCTTGCATCTCTCTCTGAAGTCAGAGGCTACAAACTGGCGTAGCTGGATAGCAGGTCAGCCCCATCTTGGATGTGGCCCTAGCACAGCTTCATGCCCTAACCAAGCCAGGGCAGCATGCCCATGCCAGGGGTTGGTACTGGGTGCTACTCACGCCATGATGCCGGAGAGGTGGAAGAGCTCAGCCGACAGGTAAGCCATGTAGCTGTAGAGGAAGACGAAGAGGGGCTCGATGACACGGATATGGGAGGTGAAGCGGGAGGTGAAGGCTGCAACGATCCCGTAGATGATGCCGATGAAGACACCGCCCAGGGACACCACGAAGAAGCTGATGAAGCCCAGGAGGATGTGGATGATGGTCACTTGTTTGATGTTAGCAAACTCCTCAAAGAGGTGGTAGAGCACCTAGAGGGGCGAGGAGAGGATGGGATGGGGGGTCACTTCAGTGAGGCAGCTGCACTCCCATACCACATGAGGAAAGCAGGATCTTGCCTGAGAAGCCTTCGTAAGACCCACATCAAAGGACCTGAGCCTTTGTATCCAACATGCCACAGGCCATACCCATGCCCCCAGGTTCCCTGCCAAAGGGTGCACCCCCTGTGGGGGTTGCAGCCCTAGAGCATTTGCTTAATCAAAACTCATGCAAAAATGTTAGCAGCTGCTCTGTAGGGCAAGACATCAGACTTCAGGACACAGAGCTGGGGAGGGGCAAGGGGCCAGCCCTTGGGGGCACACTCCCATCTGGTTTGCTGGTGCTCTGCTTGACCTTAGCACCCTGTGAGCAGGGGGCACCATGCACAGCTGGAAATCTAGATGTGATTCTGGCCAGGGCTTCCCTGTGCTTGGGGCTGTACAGGCCCAGCGAGGCATGGCCTCTGATCCCAGGAGCTTACAGTCTAGGTAGACAAGACAGAGGAATGCTGGGGGGACTTGCCAAATGCCAGCTGGAGGTACACATGGACTGGAGAACTGGGAGCAGCCCTGGGTCGCACAGCTGACCTGAGACCAGATGCCATCTCATAGCTAAAAAGGCAGCTCCACAGCTGGAACTGCAGCATGGTGGTGGCTGCTTCCAGCCGGAGCACCAGCCAGCCAGCCAGGTGCCAAGGGACGTTTTCAAATGGTGGCTGAGACCCCAGGTGCAGGATCCCAACACTTGGCTAAAGCATCTTCACAAGAGGCAGCTCTCGCGAGCCACAGCGGAGCCACGGGCCTGGTTTCATCCATGTTTGGGATCTTACCGACCTGCGAGCAGGCAGCCAGGTACTCCCGCAGGCTGGCAGGGTGGGGAGTCCAGGGCAGAGTAGAGCACATGTCACTTTTCACTTCCCCACCAGGTCCTGGCTGCTCTTTGTGGGGTGCAAACAGCTGACAGGACATTTGGTAATACTCGGGGAAGCCATAAGTAACAAGAAAACTGGGGTTTAAAGGCTGTAGAGAAGGACTAGAAAGGAGCCAACATCCTGCAGAAACCCCACAGGCAGAGCCACATGCCAGGGCGTGGGAAGCTGCTGCTTGTCTCCGCAGGGCTGTGCTATTTCTGCCCTGCCAGGAGCTCTCCATGGCCATGTTCCCCGCGTCTCGCCTGGTGGAAGAATCTGTTACCCCAAGTATCACATTAAACTCCAGTCTCCTTTTCTATGAGGGGCTCAGCTACTGCAGCACCCTGAGCCAGGACACAGCCTCAGCATGACCTGAACTCGGGCCCTGGTCAGAACTGGTGGATGGTGCAATAAGCCAAGTAATGGGAGCAGCAGAATGAGTCCCTGCGGAGGGCCCACCTGCCTCGCAGAGATGGGGTGAGTGAGCCATGCTCCCACCCTGCACATGCTCCAAGAGAAACCCACTGGGCCCCAGGACCCAGGGAAGGGCTGGACATGTACATGCAGCACATGTCCAGGTGTAGGCAGACCGTCAGAGCGGTCACAGGCGCCCCTAGGGCATGGCATAACGCAGGGATGAAGCTGGAGGCTGAATATGACAATCCAGGCTCTGGTACGAGGCCTCATGCCAGCTCATCGCAGCGGCCTCCCAGAGAGGATGTGGTGGGGGGATTTCCTTCTGACACAGAGCTCTCTTGCTCAGGCTCTCACAAGCCCTGTGTGAAGCGGTGCTCGCAGCATCTTCATGGGCTGACTGAGTGCCTCAAGCCCAAACCACAGCTTGGCAACACGACACTTCCTCCAGATAAGTGGAGGGCCCGTCGTCTTCCTCAGCATGTCATCCGTCTCCGAGAGGAACATGTTGCATGGGCAGTGCTTGCCAGGCTTTCTACTGCATAGAGAGCCAACAGGTCGCTGGGTCTCGCTACAGCTGTGCAGTGTATTCTTAGCAGCTCTACGTGGGACTGCCCCGTGCAGCACTGCAGCAGCACGGCTTTGGTCCCGGGAGGGGGAGACCCACGGGATGTGTCTACATGGCTATGGGATGCTTGAGGACAGTGGACCTGAGAGATCCCTGCAGCCAAGATCTCCTGGCCCTGGGATCTAGTGACAGCAGGAGGGACCTGTTTGGAGAGACTTGCAGGGACCCTGGGTCAGCTGCCTGCCTTCTCCTGCAGGTGCCTGTATCAGTCCATTATTATATCTGGACTTGGGGATGGGATTGTCATGCCTCCAAGACCAATACCAAGTCCTAGGCAAGGCCTGCAAACTTCCGGGCATTCCCAAACCTACACACTCCCTTTGGTCTGTATTTGATCAAACAAATTTCTCCGCACCCTTCCCAGAAGAATCAGTGCTCAGCCCCCTGCCGCTGCCAACATGCTTGCTAGCAAGCCCTGTATACCAGGAATCACTACTGCTGCTCCAAGCCAGACACAGGGCACCCAGGAGCACTGAACTCAGTTCAGAAATGAACCCTGCACCAGCTGGGCACATCATCCAAGCCCCTGGCGAGCTCTGCCCTGGAGGGTTGGTGCTGGGCTGTGGGTTGCCGGATCCAGGCAGCAGCACCAAGCAAAGTAATTGCTCCCATTTCCTTCCCATGTCCTTGTGGGAGGGCTGGCAGTTCTGCCCTCCATCCGACAGCTCAGCATTTCTATACAGATGATACAAGAAATCCCCCAGCCTGCTGGCGGGGCGGGGGGACGACGACGACTCAGGGGTGCTCTCCAGCATATATGTCTGCTCTAATGTTTAAATTGATATAAAGAGCTGGTGTACCCCGATAGCAGAGATCTCAGCAATAGAAAGGGAGAGAAAGGAGAGACCCCTGTCCCGGGTGGCATGTGCCAGGCCCTGCCAAGACCCAGGGGACGGGAGGAACGGCATGCAAAGAAACACAGAGCTCCAGAGGGCTGGACTCCAGCCGGAGAGTGCTCCTACGGGGAAAAGTGCTGGGAGGCGGAGCGGAGCCTGCTGCTTTGGGGCCAAGTGACGGCACATATCTCAGCGAGGCTCTGCTTCCTGTTGGGATCCGCTCCCTCCTATCCGGCTGCAACAGTGGAGGGAGATCAGCGAGGTCCCTCCTTGCAGGGCAGGGCTCTTACCGACCACAGTAAGCTGTCTTGCCCTGCACGCTCGCCTCACCTGGAGGGCATCAGTGCTCCAAGGGAGTGAACACTGCATGAGTATTACTGCTGTTGGCACCTCACATCTCATCCCTGACTGCAGCCGTGCCCTGCCAGTGGAGACCTGAGTTTAGCGGCTGTGGACAGAGGCTCTTTGCCTAAGTGCTTCCCCCTCTGCGTGACGAAGAAGAGAGGGCTTTCTCTCCCAACCCTTAGCAAAAAGACCTATGAAGCCCTGGACGAGGCTAGATCAACTCAAGTCCATGGGGCTTAGGCTAATACAACGCTTCAGCTCCAGGGCTGGAAAGGAGAGTCAGGGTCAGCCGAGGATCCACCCCACATTGCAACGGAGACTCTACAGCCTCCCAGCTTGCTCCCACCAGCCCGGCACCATCAGGGCTCCCTCAGTCTCAGGACCTTGCCCACGCGCGAGAGCTTTACTTACAACGGTGACAGCATCATTGAGCAGGGATTCCCCAAACACCAGGATGTGCAGGAGCTCGTTGATGTGGATCTCCTCAAAGACGGCGAGCACCGCGACGGGGTCCACGGCCGAGATGATGCTGCCGAAGAGCAGGTTGGCCAGGAGGCCGATGTGATTGAGGCCGGTGCCGCCGATTTGGCACACCGCGTACATCAGCCCGCCGAGGAAGAAGGCGTTCCACAGCGTCCCCACCACAGCGAAGATGAGGATGGTGCCCAGGTTCTCCGTGAACTGGCGCAGGGGCAGGAAGTAGCCGGCATCCAAGATGATGGGTGGGAGGAGAAAGAGGAAGAAGATTTCGGAGTTCAGGATGGGGGGGCTCTCCCCCACGCCTTTGATGAGCCCCCCGACCAGGAGGCCCACCACAATGAGCAGGCAGCTTTCCGGCACAATGTTGGACACGGAGGGAATGACGTGGAAACCTGGGGAGAAGAGAACATGGCATCCATGTCACAGCAGGCAGCCCTTCCTCTCCCTGGGCTGTCAGCAACCACCAGCTGCAAGATGTGCGTTTGGTACGTTAAGGAAAGATCATCTCGCAGCGAAGGCACTGGGCTGGGATTCGGGGAGCTGGGGGCCATCCCTGGCACTGCTGCTGTCTCTCTGGGCGAACCTCCCCAAACCTTCTCTGTGCCTCAGTTTCCCCTTGCCGTAAAACGAGCAACGGGACTAACATGACCCGGCACAAAGCACAGAGAAACATGGCTGGAAGGGACCTCCAGAGGTCATCTAATCCAACCCCCAGCCTGAGGCAGGATCAGCCCTATCCAAGCCAACCCCATACATATCCGTCATCTAACCTCTTCGTAAAACTACTGCCACCCCTGACACAACACAAGACGTAACACCAGAACCTGCCACCGGTCGAGCAGGGGAACAGAGCAGCCAATGTCCTGCTTTGGTAAAAGGTCTTTAATATACGCTCAAGAGATCCCAGGTGCCGTGAACTGGCGCGCTACGCTCAAGAGATCCCCGGCCATGCCTCTGCTGCAGAGGAAGGCAAACCCTCCACAGTCTGTATTAGTCTGACCGTGGGGGGAAATTCCTTCCTGCCCCCCCCAGTGCAGCATCTGACCCTGAGCAAAGGGCCAAGACCCTCTAACCAGGACCCTCCGGCTTTGAGTCCCAGCAGGAGCACTGGCACAGCCAGGTCCTCCATGCTTGTTCCCAGGTCAGGAAATAGTAGAAGCTGGGAATTTCTCCAGGCAGGAGCTACTCTGCAGCCACAGCAAGACAAGGCCTCCCCGGCATGGGATGAAACCCCAGTCCAGTGCAAGAACAGACCCAGCGGCTGGCCGCAGCCACTCGGCTAATGAGAGCGATTGAACTTGCACCCGCATGTGCACCCGTCTTTCTCTCCGCCCACGCCACACAGGGACAAAAGGAACTAGGCCAAGTGCTAGCAACACCTGCTTATTAATCTCCCCGGATGCCAGCCTCCCAGCACCTCTAGCGCTCACGCTTACAGCAGCCCTTGGCACTAGGAAGCACAGCAAAAAAAGCAGCCATCCCCTGCATCCCCTCTGGCAGGGGCAAAGCAGCTGAACCTGTATTCAAACAGGGAGGACCTGTATTAGTCCCTCCTGTGCTGGACCGGAGGGGCTGGGACAAAGAAGTGGGTCTGTGTCCCCAACACCCACCTTCTCCAGCCACCCCCACCACCCCCCCATTCCCTCCAGCGCTGCGGCAGTCTGGGGACCAGATTAGACTGGCACTCCAGTTAAAAGACATTTTACCATGCTATCATGTCAGCCACTTTCCCCCGATGCCGACAGAAGGATTTCAAATCTGTAATTCCCTGGATAATACCCAGGACTTCTCTTTTTGTCACAGTGAGGCAGCTTTGCTGCCCTCCCGTTGCCTGGCACAGGAGCTGGTTTTAAATGAGAGATCGCAGAGCTGCGTTGCATCTTGGCCACTTTGTTCTCAACTCCCTTCCGAGCTTGCGGAGGCACCATCTGTTCCCAGCAATGTGGCAAAGAAAGAAAACCTTCCTACCGAGGGAAGGTGTCTAAATGTTCAGTCTCTGTGGAGCCTTGGAAGCGAATGGACTTTTTGCTCCAAGTATGTACAGCGCCGTGCGCACCAGAGCTCCCAGCCGGGCGCTCCTGGCTGCTGCTGCAATCACAGAAGCAGAAAAGGCAGGCTGGAAAGGCCCTTGAGTTCAACCCCTGCTCGAGGCAGGACCAGCCCCAGCTAAACCATCCTAGCCAAACGTCTTTCCTTTCTCATATCCCAGAGCCGTTCAGCTGCTCTTCCCAGGGGAGGGCTCCTTCCCAGCCTGCCCACCGGCGAGCACCAGGGACACTGGTGGGAGTGGGGGCAGAGACAGCCCAGCAGAGGGGCAGTCATATGGGCTAGGCACCGACTTCAAGGCAGGTGAGCTTGCATGCAGGGTTGTTAGGTACGGAGGAGAGCGCAGTGACTTTGCACGCTGCCCATCCTGCCCCGGGGCCAGCCAGGGCTGGGAGCAAGCTTTCTGCCAGGTGGAGAGCTCAGGCTACTCGGCTTCTGCCAAGAGACCACATGGTCCCAGCGTATGCCCAGATCCTGTCATGTCCTCAGGTTCCTCCAGCCCCATTATCCAGAGACCTGAAAGGTCAGAGTTTCTGTGCCCCATGTCCAATGTGGTCTCCGCCGGCACCACCCCTCAAGGAGCACCTTTGCCAGAACGGCTTCCAGGCGGCTGCGGTTCACCTCCGCACACCTGCTCCGCCGCTGCCAGTGGCGGCCTAGGAGGAAGGAGGAGGCTGAAGGACTCCCCCTCCCTCTCAGCATCCGCTGGGGGCACTGGAAGGAGCTGCGTGGGAACGGATCCGGCTCCTCCAGCAGACACGCTGAGCTGGAACAGATTGCAGCGCCGGGGCTGTGAGAACTGACCCGGCTTCAACCTGCAGCCGGAGGAGGGGGTGAGCTCCTGCTGGGGCAGGGCTAGCGTGCTTCTGGTCGCACAACTGGCCCTGTGGCTTTAGGACAGAGGCCAGCAACCCCGGGTCCTGCCCACCACACTAAGCGCGGGGTGCTGGGACACAGGCCCTGCTCCCATTACGGTGCCCAGGCCCCAGACGCTGATAGCGCTCGGTGCAGGACCCCGGCAGCATCTCTCGGCTCTACCTGAGCCACCCACGGCAGCACGTCTGAGCTGCAGGCCCACTCGCTGCACAGCCCCTCAGTCGACGCTGGCTAAATACATCCAAGCACGGATAAAACCCAGCGCCAGCCGTGCAGCACCTCCTGCTCGGTCCCCGAGGACTCTGATAAACAGGAACATTCATGAGCAAATGCAAATGAAACATTTACAGGCTTTTTGTGAGGCCCTAAAAATAAACTCACAGGGGCTATGTCTTCATTATGCCTCTGATCCTACTGAATCTCTGCACATCTCTCCCCTCCCCTCTCTCCAGTATTTTTAGAGCATTTGAAAGTTTACTTCTATCTGTCTACTGCTGCGATGCCATCATCACGATTACCCATGCCAGCCAGGCAGCCACGGGGAGCAAGGAGCCTCGGCCCATCTTGCTGTGGCTCCAGGGGTATGGAACGGGAACGAGCAGATGCAGAAGGTTGCACAGAGAGGCGAGTGGGTGGGAGCGGTCCCTGCAGTGCAGCAATACAATGCGGGGACGTATTACCAAGCTCTGAGAACAAACAGCACCTGCCATCTAATCTCAGCCCCGACGCGGACTGCCCGTGGGATCACGAGGAAGTCATTTTGCCTCCATGCCTCAGCTTTCCCATCCATAAAGTGGGGATAAGATCCCCCACACTGCTTCGCCTCTGAGAGGGACTCGGTGAAGGTTGAGAGCTGATTTCAAAGGAATGTGGAAGATGAAGGTTGCTACCCGATAGCTGGGGAGCTATGTAAGCTGGTCCAACGTGCCACGATGGAGCTGGCTCAGGACACCAGAGCTCCCCAGCATCCCCTCCATATCATGCCATCCTATTACCAAGGGAATGCTCCCTTGCTGGGAGCTCCCAGCCCTGCTGGCTCTCGGTGTGTGCTGTATGTCAGAGGGGAGCGCAATGCATCCATCCCTTGCTGAGAGGAAGGCACTAGCCCCGGCTGGTTCATCCACAAGCCCCTTTGGGCAGAGGATCAGGCTCTGGATGCAGCGTCTGCTCTGCTCACAGCAGCTCCTCTTGGGAACATACAGGGCAGGGGCATCAACCACAGCTATTTTTCCATCTCTTCCATAGCTTAACCCAGAGAGGATTGGCCTGGGGTCTTCGTGTACCTTGTGCCCTTCCCTTCCTGCCAGGGGTGGTTGTCACATTGCTCTTCAAACACCTGCCACATTCCAGACCTGGGCTGCACCAGCCTTGGCTGCCTTGGTTTCCAGTGGGAGAGAAGGGCCTAGGTGAACACTTGGCTCTGGACATGCCTCATGCCAGAAGCTCAGGGCTGCCCTTATTTTAACTGCTGCTTTAAAACCGAGTCCAGGTTCACTCTGATCCTCGGGGAACAGGATGAAAAAACACGGCACGGTGGCTTGAAGAGCATGTTGGGCATATGTGGTCCAGGGAAAGTATTCAGATTGCAGTAGCATCTTTACTCACTGCAGGCGGGGGCTGAAGCCCCTTCATGCTAAGCACTGTGCAGATCCAGGACAACAAAACAGTCCAAGCCCCAAAGCCCTGCCAATCTACCAGCCTCTTCTGCATGGACACAAGTGACACAGGAGCCCATTGCTGCTACCTGTTCAATGCCAACGCCTCTTGTCCCAAGCAGTGCTTCATTATCACCTGCAGCAAAAGGCACAAGGCTGATGCTCTGGAAGGTCCCTTACAAAAAGCCCCAGCCGGGGAAGATGCGCATGTAAAGCAGGAGTTACCACGCGACTCGTGCTGGATGCACGGGGAAGAATAAACAGCCTTCCTGTGCTAATGAGCTAGGAGCAGGAACAGAGAGAGCCAGCTCGCACAGAAATGCTCCAGCCTAATTTCGGCTGCTGCTGGAACGCTGCGGAGAAGTCCCCGGGGCCGGAGACGTTTGCAAGCAGCCACAGTGAATGCCATAAAAACTATTAAATGCAAGAAAGCTTAAGTCAACAAGGATGCCGAGAAATCAGCCAAACAAGGAAAGGAAATCCAGACATTAAAAGTTTCTATGAAAACACTGCCCCTGTCCACGTCAGGCATCCTGCATGCGCAGACAAAGCAGCTGACTATGGAAGACGGAGGCAGAGAAACTATTACCCGCACGCAACAGGACCAGGCTTAGGAGAAGCCAGAACTGGCTTTCCTAAATAGCCTTCTCCACCTCAGCTTCCGGGGAATTAAATGCACCGTCAGCTTTTAAAGGCAAGGAGAATATTACAGCACCTAAAATTTAAGAAGCTTTTGACAATTCAGGATTGTATTGAGGACGCATCTTCTCTGGAGGAAAAAAAAAAAGTGCTTTTGTATCCAGACTGCAGTCTCT